GACACCTGGTATCAGCTCAGGATGAACGTAAGAGTGACATGATNTGGTACACATGTCTGTCTCCGCTCCCTCTTTTGCAATCTCTTTTTCTAATTCTATCAAGCTGTTAATAAAAGTTGACTTCCCCTGGCCAGTTTTTCNCACCACAAGCAGATGAATGTCTGATGAAGTTCCTTCACTCGTCAAGATATGCTTCATTGTAGACATGCCTACAAAAGTAAATTCAAACAAGGTGAATGCAAAATCCTTAGTTGCACAATCCTTTCCAATTGTATCCCTTTCCTATGCACCCATTAATTTGTCTAGTAATCTAATTTCTGACTTATTACAATAATTATTAGCAGGGTTTGAGTTTACGTTCTGTTTAGCTCGCCCAATAATTACCAGTATGCATGCATCATTCTATTAAGCATGTGCAGTAGTACAAGTAAAGTCCCACCACTGAACATTTGAATATCTGAGCTACCATGTTGTAGGATAGAAGTACAGGGCTGAATGGGAAAAAGTGGCTTTTCCAATTTTCCTTTTAAATGCAAGCACTAATTAACACACAAATGTTCACTGGACATTCGTTGTATAATTCTACTTACGCAATTTTGCACAGTTCTTGGAGAAAATAAAGAAATAGTGCCTTTTTCCCATTCATCTTTGTACATTTATTGCATAACATGGTGGCTTATTAATGATATTTATTGCTAAATGCTCAGTGGTGGAAGAGATCTATCCCAACCAGACATAGAGTAATATGTAATACCATATAGCGCAAAATTTTTGAGGGCTGTAAATTTTGCAAATTTGCCTAAGATCTATTTTGCAAATTTATGCCATCTGCCATCTTGTACTGTAATAATTTGATTTTTGTGGAAGTAATTTTTTTGCAAATCTTCGAAAAATTGCGAAATTCACAAAATTTACAGCTCTCAAAAAAAGGTGTCCTACGGTAGTAGTAATAATAATAATAATAATAATAATAATAATAATAATAATAATAATAATAATGATAATAATAATAATAGTAAGGATTACAAAATATTGGTGTAATAGTAATATTATTATTATTATTTATTATTATTATTATTATTACTTTACAACACACAACAACAGAAGATAAGAGTAATTATATAGTCTTAGTTATACAGAAAACATAGGAAGTGTTGAAGGATTAGCTACATCTTGTGTAGTAGCCTTGAAACAGAGAGAATAGGAAAAAAAAAACACACACGCACACACACAAAAACACAATAGTAATTGAAAAAGAAATCCATTGTAATAGTAATAGTAATATGAAATAGACTCCCAGTAATAGTAATTGTAATAGAAATTACAATGTAATATGTGTTGATTACACGCATGATGCACTTAATAGTTCATAGAAATCATTAAGTGTCAATTTGTCAGTGTCACTGTCAGGAGGAAGTAGGAACCTTGTGGCACACTCGATTCTATTCAAGTTGCATAGAGAGCATGCTTTTATATCAAATGTACCTTCATGTAAAAGTAATAGTAATATAATCCAATTAGTAATAGTAATAGGAATAATTATAATTACTTTAGTTTAGTCAACTAATTAATGGTAATAGTAGTGTCAAAAAATTTTCTTGTTAATAGTAATTGTAATAATACATTTTACCGCATGTCACAACTTTTTACACAAATTACAACTATAGGGTATGTGCTATTAACCACAGGCTTATCCATAAACAGTCAAGTACCGTATAGCTCCAAATTTTCATCAGTCAAAAATTTCGTCAAAATCTTAATTTCTTGTTAAAATTAATTTTCGTCAATAAAATTTTCGTTATTTTTGTTATTAATCTGCATACTACCCACGTGGAACAAAAATTTTGTCAGTTAAAAATTTCGTCAAGCAAAAGTACCTGACGAATTTGACGAAAATTTTGACCGACGAAAATTTTGACCGACGAAAATTTGGAACTATACGGTAGTTAATAGTACACGCCCAAGAAGTATCATCCCTGATACAGGCAAGTCTGATTAGGTTATTTTCGTGGGTCTAATGTTTTGTGGTTTGCCGTGGTTGACAGCTAGCCTGTAAAATTTTGAGGTAAGCCCCAAAACCACGAAAATAAAGAACTACAAAAATAACCCACTATATGGTATTTTTATACAGCCTTGATAGGCATTATTGCCTGTTGCTCAGGCTAAACTAATACCGTACCATTATTCTATCATAATTATTGTGGCTGATTATCACAATCGTATCATATGCTAGGTTGATTGCTGCAGGCTACCCAAAATCCCTGATACAGAATGTATCAGGCTGAGTCATGACTGAAAATCATTTATGATTTGGATTAAAATTCTTGGCTGTGTACATACACACCCATTGAAGTAGTTGTAAGGAACATAATGTAAAATGCAATTTGTCAAGTGAACTGAACAGAACTACACTCCAATACACTAAATGTTGGATAATAAGTTTACTTTCGTTGTATTCTATCGATAGATCGGTAATATCATCAATAATTGTTTCACGAGTGCTAGTAGCTCTTTCACTATCGATATCTGAAAACAATAGTTATAATTATTGTAATAGTCTAGATATAGAATCAATGGACTGACCTTCCTCATCACCTTGATCAGTTAATAACTTCAGTTCAGCCATTGCCTGTTAAAAAAGCTAGCCACTAAGTATCTTGCACTTGCAGCTGCGAGCCTGCGACGTGGACTACTGGAGAACTGGACTCGGAAAAATATTATAGTTACCGCGCTTTCAAGCAAAATACACAATAGGCATTGTACATCTAGGGGATGGATTTACGGATCATGCACGCAGCCAGTCTCTCGCGGGGCCAGACTCAATTTTTATTAGAATTCGCAGCCATGCCCCCAAATAAGTGGGTGTGTAGATATACAGCGACAAGCTTAGAAATGGCCGAATCAGAGCTTGCAAGCAAGTTAAACAGGCAACAGCAGATAAACGATGGAGAAGTGAAGGCTGCTAAAGTCTCCCAGTCAGTGTATGCAGAGTTTAAAGAGTTCTCTATACAAGAAATCAAAGAATACAGAAAGATATTCGTAAAGTAATGAATGAATGCTTGTTTACACATACTAGATAGTTTACACACTAATGCGCTTTCTTTTTCAGATATGATGTAGATAAGAGTGGTTTTATTGATTTTATGGAGCTTAAGCTGATGATGGAGAAACTGGGAGAGCCCCAGACCCACCTTGGACTGAAGGCAATGATAAAAGAAGTTGATGAAGATCACGACAATCAAATTAGCTTTAGAGAGGTATGGAAAAAAAAGATTCTCTTTCCTCTATTTTTTGTTTTGTGTACCCTTTCAACATCTGCTTTTCCTTGTACCTTTACTCCTCATTCTTATGTCTCTGGCATTCTTATCGATTGTTCCCATTCATGTGAAAACATTTATCATGTTTGTGACCATAAAAGGAAGTTCTATGCCCATACGTGTCTTGCTTGCAAGGAGTCTACTATAATCTAATTTTATTCCTTATGTTTATTATAAATAAAATATCAAATTCCCTTATGAGTTGCAATCATAACTCCTTAATTCCTATATAGTTTATGCCTATATTTAAAAACTTCTTTCCTAGTTTATCTTTATATTTAGGAATACTTATCCTAATTTTTGCTTACATTCAAAACTCCTTTCCTAGTTCATGCTTGTATTTAAGAACTCCTTTAGTTCATGCTTGTATTTAAGAACTTTTTATTCTAGTTTATGCTTATATTCAAGAAGGCTCGTGATGGGACTCTAGAGGTGGATGGGCTCAAGGCAATAGCTGGTAGTTGTGATGTGGCTGCTGAAGGTGTCAAAGGAGCGAAGAGCTTCTTTGAAGCAAAAGTAAACGAGCAAGCAAGGGGAGCTAAATTTGAGAAAGAGATCAAAGGTACGACCAATTTTTAATTTCATTTATCACATGTAAATAAAAATAACAGATAATAACAAATAAATAATAACAATAATAATAATAATAATAATAATAATAATAATAATAATAATAATAATAATAATAATAATATTTTGTTGATGACAGAGGAACAAGAAAAGAAAAAGAAAGAGGCAGAAGAGGCTGCTGAAAGAAAGAAAGCATTTAAAGAGAAGGCATCAATGTGGCATTAAAAAGATCAGAGTGTACTTGGAAGAATGTGATGCGGTTTAATAACTTTCTGTTATATTATTATTATATATATTTTATAGTTTTCTTTATTTTTCTGTCTATTTTCCTGCTTTTTATAACTTAGTTCCAATTTCAGAGTCTTTTCGAGTTGGTTCCGATTCGCTGATCCCAGTTCCAGATAGATCTCGCATTGACTCAGTTTTAAGAGTCTTATACTTTGTCTTCCATTTCTTTACTTGACCCGATAATTTCTGCAAATAAAAAGTAGATTAATAATGAATTGAAAATTAAATTTAAAATTGCTTTCCACTCTCAATAAATCATAAGTTAAATGACAAATTCCAACAAAGTTGTATCATGTTTATACTCACGGCATTTTCTTTGCACAAGTATAACTGCATTTGACGTAGTCTTGCCACTTCGTCAGTCAGCGATTTGATAGAACCAAGCAGTGAATCTATGGAGAAGAGAGAGTGTACATGCATGAAGCTCATGTTTTATGCTGTGGTATGTACCGTATGTTGTGTCAGTTCTTTCACCATTAATGCTTTCATCAGAATCACTTTCACCAGAACCGCTGCCAGGCTTTAAAAAGTAAAGTAAAAGATGAAATTTAAATTTAAATCATACAGTATCTATACTCACTGTTTCAGCTATAGGCGTTATCTGTCTTTCATCAGCCGATTCCTCTTCTAAAGATAACGGGAATGAGAATCTATCGAGTGTAGAGTTAGATGATGTATAGTATCCAAGAGTATTCATGTCCATTCCAGCAGTGTTCCTCTGATGAACCTCCAACATCCTCACTCTATTGGAGACAGGAACTCTCCTTCCTCCCTCAATGGGAGACAGCGAGTGAGGAGGAGTAGGGAACGTGAACATTGGCCTCATGTTGTCAACTTGAATTCCTACATCACAAGAGCGGGGACCCGAGCCGCTGGGGGCATCAATGTCTAAAAGGTCTCCTCTCCTTCGGTTTCTCTTCCGCCTGTCTTCATTCATTATGTCAGGATTCGATGCCCATTTCTCCCTGTGGCATCTATCAAGAGAGAATGTTCGTGAAGTTTGTGCATCGGATTCTTCATTTGGTTGAGAGGATAATATGACTACCCCCGGGAGATCGTTAGGTACGCTCCAGTTTAAGGGGGAGCTTACAGACGTGCAGTCGGATGAAAACCCGGTCTGATCTGATTTCTGATTTCGATCGTAGTAATACTCCTCTTCTCTTGATCTTTCCTCCAGTATATCTGTTGTGAGGGACTCCTTTGGTTTTCTTTTCCCTCGGATGCTGAACTTCTTTTTTGAGGAGGAAGAGGGACCTGAGGGGTTTAGGGTTTTATCCTGTCGTCTGTTGCTTCGTTTCCTTTCTAAAGTCGAAACCCTTTTCTTGCTAGAACTAGAGTCACTACAGTAACGATAAAACACATAAAATACTATGTCTGTGTACATAAATTAACATCATAAAAACATGTACAGTACAATGAGACTAAATGTTAATTCTTTTGAATTGTTTATTTGTATATGCTTCAAAAATAGCGAAAATTGGAAGTAGTTCAAATTTTATTGATATAGTAAATAATTGCCTAATTCACTTACTCTCCTCCCAGTATAGAGAGATCAGGTGTGCTGGTTGCTAGTAAATTCTTCTCAGGTTTACTCAATAGTTTATTAGGCGACAATGGCCTTGGTGCATCTCCTGTGGTCGTGGATTTACGTCGTGGGAAAAAAGTACCGAAAGTCATCCTCCTTTTTTGGGGAGACCCCAGGGAGTTTGGCTGCTCGTACGGTTCAACTGCACTCTAATTAAAGGGTGTGGTTACTAAGGTGTGGCCAATGATGAACAATTACCTTTCTTTTGTCGTGTACTGGTGTAGTTACAAATTCTTGTCCTGAAAGTTCTCTCAATAAATGAATAAATAACTGAGAACGAGTTCTTGTCTGTAAAATAAAAAAAATTAATAATTATTATCACATTAACTTGCAGAGCTAGTATGCAGGCAATAGCTCAAAGTGCTAACAATGTGTGGGCGTTAGCTCATGTGTGTGGGTGTTGATTTTGAGTGCTGATTGTGTGTGGGCATCAGCTCTTACTGCTAGTTGCAGGAAGGCAGGTGCTTGATGACACTTCGCTTCGGCATTGAGGACTTTAGTTAGGAGCCACTCTCTGAAATCTGGCCCTTTAGAGAACACAGCAGGAGTGGGAAGAGGAGGAGTAAAGTCAGGGACATCTTCTTTTGCTGCAACTGCAACCTTTAGCAAAAAAATGATTATTATTTTTTAAGTTTTGATTTACTTTGTAGACGGTGTTTTTTGAGTTCTTCTGCTCGACTTGTACGACAATGTGTGCATGAAGGAACTTTGACCTGACACAGTCCGGACTGTATGGAGTGTTGCTGTCTTGGAACACAATGAGGACAATGTCATTACCAATGTGTCTCTTTCTAGCAACCTAAAATTAGATTAATTCATAAAAAATTAAATTTTGATTAGAACTATATAATATAATATACAGAACTTAATATATGCATCAGAAATTGTAATAAAAATTTGGGGTGATTTCGAAGCCATTTTTTGAAAGAAACCATGGGCTATATAGCCTTGGGTATTTTTTTAATTTTTGACATTTTCTTAAAATGGCTGTAACTTGAAAAATTGAAGTCGGAATTACCTCAAACTTGCTACACAGCATAAGGACATCAATATGTATAAGAAAATGTAATAAAAAGTTGGAGTGATTTTGGAGCCATTTTTTGAAAAAAACCATGGGCTATAGCCTTGGGTATTTTTCAGAATTTTGACGTTTTCTTAAAATGACGGTAACTTTAAAAATATTTGTCGGAATTTGCTAAAACTTGCTACACAGCATAAGGACATCAATATGTATAAGAAAATGTAATAAAAATTTGGGGTGATTTCGAAGCCATTTTTTGAAAGAAACCATGGGCTATATAGCCTTGGGTATTTTTCAGAATGTTGACGTTTTCTTAAAATGGCCGTAACTTGAAAAATTGAAGTTGGAATCAACTCAAACTTGCTACACAGCATAAGGACATCAATATGTATAAGAAAATGTAATAAAAATTTGGGGTGATTTCGGAGCCATTTTTTGAAAAAAACCATGGGCTATAGCCTTGGGTATTTTTCAGAATTTTGACGTTTTCTTAAAATGGCTGTAACTTGAAAAATTGAAGTCAGAATCAGCTCAAACTTGCTACACAGCATAAGGACATCAATATGTATTTTAAAATATAATAAAAATTTGGGGTAATTTCTGAGCCATTTTTTGAAAAAACCATGGGCTATAGCCTTGGGTATTTTTCAGAATTTTGATGTTTTCTTAAAATGGCCGTAACTTGAAAAATTGAAGTCGGAATCAACTCAAACTTGCTACACAGCATAAGGACATCAATATGTATCAGAAAATGTAATAAAAATTTGGAGTAATTTTGAGGCCATTTTTTGGAAAAAACCATGGGCTATAGCCTTGCATGGCTTTTCTTCAAAAATTGGCTCATTTTAATAACACTCATAACTCAAAACATGTACTATAGGTATAATCATGGAATCATGTTTGGTGTTTCTGTACTGTCCCTTTTCTTATTTACACAATCATTCTCTCTATTTTCACTCCTTTTATAAATTCATTAAGCCACTTATTCAGCCTACAAATCATTTCATTCAATGCATTGTTAACAACTGAAGGAGAATAAAGAGCTCATATTAAAATAGATGAAGATATACATCACTAGTGATACATTTACATTTAGATGCATAGGTACATGTATATGTAGTGTTGTGCTACTAACCTGTTGTCTGTCCCCAGGGTCATAAGGTAGCAGTGTAGATACATGGAACATTATTTCTTGATCATTGAACTCAGTGTAAACACTGTATTTACCAGTCTGATCATTCACATTATCCAAACCACCTCTGTACCTGCATAAATCAATAAGAAATCAATGAGAAATCAAGGAGAAATCAATGAGAAATCAAGGAGAAATCAATAAAAAATCAATGATAAAATCAATAAGATATTACAGTATACATGCAGACACAAAATTCTAATTCAATTAAAATATTGTTATCCCTATAGCTCTCAATTGAATTATTCACTTAGAATAAACAAACAATATGCAGCATGCCCACAAAGAAAACACAACCATTATTAGATTTATAAACCCAACAGCTGTTACTAGTTACACTTGCATAGTCTGCATTGCATTCTTGGTAGCATGTGTCTTACTAGAAACACTCTCCCCCTCACTCACTTTTCAAATCCTTTTAGTTTTACTGTCTCTCCTAGAAGCTCGAGAAATTCTTTAAAAGCAGGCGAGTGCTCATTGTTGCAAAACATCTCCTCTTCGGTTGTCTGTGAGAGGTTTCAAATTTAGAGTCTTTTTTCTTTCATTTTTTGAAAGGCTTACCTGTCCAAATTTTTGATAAATGATTCCAATTTTGTGCTGCTTTGCAACAGAGTGCTCATCAAATTTTTGTATTATCTCTGGTGCCTGTTTGAAAAAAATAATAAAAAAGTAAAAATATGTTTGTATCAAAAGTATATGGATATGCTATGCAAATTTGACTAATAGTTCTACCTTTTTTGAGCTGATTCTCTGTAAGCCTTCAACCCTCAGTGTCTCCCCATCATTCAGCGTACTCAGTATAATCTGAAATCATGTGATAGACGTGTGACAGGATAAATGACTTACCGCTAGGTATTCTTCTGGCTCCAGTTTTCGTGACAACTGAGCAGAAGGATACACCTTGTAATGAGTTGCTTCCTTAGTTCTAGAGAAAGAGAGAGAGAGACAGATAAAGTGTGTGTGTGTGTGTGTGTGTGTGCAATGGAAAGGAAGACGAAAACAATTAACATCAAAGCTAGTAAGTTACAAGGCATACAATATCAAAGACAAAAGATCAAAAGGCAAAAATAACAAACAAAGTGCGAATAAGCCCAAAACTGACAAAAAATAAAGAAACAAATGAATAAAGAAGTTTAGGAGACTTTTGGTCTATCACACATTTGGTCTAGGTCTCCTAAAATTTTGACTTTTCAGTTAGAATGGTCTTTAAAAATTTATTCCCAGATCTGTAACAATTAATGTAGTTATACAATTTATGAACATACCTCAATATCATTCTTATCAAAGGATCGCAGCTAACATTGCCGTCAATCATCAGGCTGAACACCAGAGATCCAAATTTACTCTCTCGAACATAAAAATTCTTGTGAGGGTGACCCACAAAATGTCTCCCGTACATCATTGCAGTGTTATCAATGTCCAGCCTAAAGTGCTCAGTGTCTATCTCCGGTGCTAGCCATGTCCCATCCACGTTCCTACTGCTTTCATATTCTCCATTCTGTACCCAATAGCCTCCATCAGGTGGCGTAATGAGAAGAGGAAATGGAGCTTCATTTACTTGTATTAGCTGCAAAGTAATAATAACAATAACAATAATAATAATAATAATTAATAATGATAATGATGATGATAATAATAATAATACATCTAAGCATTTATAGTAATAGTGTAGATAATTATGATAAATATAGTTGCATGTATTCCCCATTATGTATGCTAGAACTATGAAACTGCTAAATTATCAATTCTTAGCTACTATAGTTACTATTACAGGAAGCCCCCAAACCTCAACTGCAAAATGCTATCAATATCTCATGATAATACATCAATCTGACACTGAAAACTATCCATGATGTCACATTGACTTAATGTCCAGTCAAAAATAACTGACAATATGGCCAAAAAAGGAAGTCATAATGTGTAGTGGGTAGCTAGCAATCAGTGACAAAAGTAAGTAAATAAACTGTCATTAGAACTAACAACACTGAAATTAAAATACACTACACTGATATTAAAATACACTACACTGAATTAAAATACACTACACGATACGCCCACCATTAATTGTACTTGTAATTACCTTTTTTAGTGCTTCAACTGAGCGTCGATTTGGTCTGAGTCCTATAGCAGGAGAGCCCGGAGGAAGAAGGCTAGTGTGATTACAATCATCACTGCTATTAGAGAGAGAGTTAATACTCTCACCATCAACTGGCCCATCTCCATTCTCCTCAAAAGCATGACGAGAGTTGGTCGGTGTTATCATGCTACCGTCCTCTTCTAAGATCTCCGATATTTGCTCTTCATCTTCGGAGTTAGGCTCATCAATTTCGGGCTCAGGCGTGGCTCTTATTATAACAGGAGAAGGGAAGGGAGAACGCTGGCTGTCATACCTCCGGCACTATAAAGAGGAAGGAGGGATGGAGTGAATTAGAGAGAGGGGATAGACAAAGGGATGCAAAGACGATATGAACAAACAAACATGGAGAGAAACAAGCAGTACGCCTTTAATCAGCACTACAAAGTAACGTGGAGGACAAGACGAAACAGGCTGTCAAATCAAAGGGAACAACTTTGTGGCTGTTACCTGATATTACAAGTTATGTCAATTTACTAATGACTTGTTACTATGGAATGAATAATCAACTTTTATAATATTCACAACAGCACTTTCACTGTGTGCTATTCTGTCATATAGTACTGTATCATAATATTAATACATACATATGCACATTTTCACTGTATTTATATTGATACTGTTCCCTGTCATATTGGTATACTTATAATGTACAATTGTAACTGTACATTCTGTCATATTAGTTTAATGTACACTGCACATTTATATGTCAATATAGTACCTGAGCTTTCGAGATCATGTCAACAAAATCTTGCTGAAGATGTATGAGAGAAATAAAAAATAGAGTGAATTAGTGGAATAGCATATTAAAATACATAATATAGTACATACATATAATAATAGCTAAGTGTAATAATTGTACTTGTTTTTTCCAACATATCTCACTGTAAGTAATGGAGAAACACTAATTTACTGATGTGCAAACAAAAAAATGAGTTTTATTCTCTTCCTTTTTATTCGAAATCATTGCTAGGACAAATATTATTTTTATTCAAACTATGTCCAAATATTTTCTTATTTATATGAGTTTTAGGGGTTGGTATGTTTTTATAAACCGCTTTGCTCTCTAACAAAATAGTCTACTGGTAGAAGATATAAACAAACCATAGAAGGCAATCAGAACAACACTATATTGTCATAGTAATAGTGAACGTGATGAAAGAGATGGAGTAAGGGAGAGATAAAAGGGGGACATTGGCACTGATGTAATGTATTTTTATAAAACAGTAAATAAATCATGATCCATGAAGGCACATTAATAAAGGAAAAAACAAACGCATACTCAACTATAAGGAGAAGAGGGGAAATGGTGATGTTTCTGGAACTATGGTGATACTACTGATAACCATTAAGGAAGTTCATTAAATAGTTATTTTTATTTGTGTCTAATTACGAGCTCTTATGTCTTCTCTCAAAACATGACCAATATAACAGTAGACTCTATGGCAGACTTATGCTAAAGGCAAGGAAGAGCAGGCTCCAAGAGACATGTTTCTCTAGAGCAAACATGACCAGTAATGCAAACAGTGTGGAAAGGAGGAGGAGAAAGGAAAGGAGAGAAAGAGAGAGAGAGTGGGAGAAAGTGAGAGAATAAGGCAAACAAGAGGAAAAAGGAGAGTATTATGTGAAAAGGACTAATAAGGAAAATGGAACAAGACAACAAACAGAAATCAATTAGCAGTACAACCTCATACTAAAACAAACAAAAAGAGGATTTACATAAGTGCGGTACCTTTCTTACCTCTGAAGGAGATGCTGGGAGAGACACTTCATCTCTGTAACTCATTTTCTGTAACGTTTGCCTTCTTAGTGATTTCTTCTGTGGTGGCCTAATACAGTATAAATGGAACAATAGAATTACGCAATCATAATTATGTTAATTTTTATCTGAAATCTGTCCTTTCATTACATCAGACCACAAAAATGAATCTTCCCTTCCTGCTCCACGATAAGCATAATTGGTAAATGCTCTAAAACTATACTATAATTCATAAACTAATAACTCTTATCAGTCCATTTGTTTACTATCCTCATTACTTATAGGATATAAGAGTAATGACGACTTACCAACAAGGCTAATTCCCACTAGAAAACAACCACTATTATACTATAAATATTTGTGACACACAATTTTCTGTTTAATTTTTGTTGCCATAAAGCTTGGAGCATACATTCTGCTACTGTCTGTAGTAGTAACACTGATACTCCTACTGAATATTTTGTAGAGGAACTCATCTTTCCTCTTTGTCAGCATGTCTCTCATCTTTTAACCTTGAGCTCACAGAACTTTACCTTTCTCTCCCTTCTTTTAAGCAGTAGATTAGTAGTTCTAGATATTTATTTTTTCTTTCACACCATTATAATTTACATGCAACTCTCAGCTTTCTTACCTTCTTGGTTTAAGTGATCGTGAACCAAAATGTTGCCAAAATGTCATCTTATTATTATGAGGCATATTTTGTTGCTTTGCAGGTACAGGTTTGAAAGGGGCTTGATGCTAATCTCTTGTTGTCTTGCAAACACAGTTAGACTCTGCTACTGAATACAAGTGACTGGGTCTTAATCTGCAGACTGTTAAACTGAAGCCAGCAAGGCCAAGCTCTTCTATATTTATAGCAGGGAACTGTCTGTGTGGGTTTAAGAGTTTTGGTAGGGTGGGGCAGAGCTCACTTCCCTTGGATAATACAAATAGTGTTAAAATTATATGGAACCAAGCTCTTAACAACACATCACCTTGTACTTTACTACAAGCCTACTCTTCACTAATGCAAATCGTAAGTGTTTTAGCTTGCTCATCATTAATTGCTATTGGCAAGCACAGACATTCTTGGTAGCCCGCCCGTGGCTGCTTCTCCAATTCGCTCGCTTTCTTGATAAATACTTTCCCAGTTTACACAAGGCGACATGGAAGGTTAATTGTGGTCGGATTATTTTTCAAACCTCGAGGTTCGATGCATAGCCAAGGCCCAAGCTCTGATGATACAAAAATTTACAATCCTGTGTCGACTGACCTTGTTTGGCTGTTAACACTCTGTATATCCCACACTGTGTAGAGACAGGGAGAGAACAAGCAACAATCCCCAATGCAGCACCACAGGTTGCAAAGAAAGAAGAAGAGCAGGACAGAGAGAGAGAGTGGGAGTTACTGTTTATAGCTGAATGAAGGAGGGGCGGCCGGCAAGTCAATCAACTTTTCAAAGAATTTGATTTTTAATTTTAATTAAAGTATACGGAGAAATCCGTAGAACAACGGCAAATTATTGGCACCAAGCTATGACAACAAAACTTATTACCAAGAAAATAAATACTGTCATGTTTATACAAACAAACAAAACAATTATTAAATGTTATTATATATATATACATACAAAGTTACATAAACTTTTGACGAATTTTTTTGCTGATTAAAAAAGGATCTTTAAGGATTAGTCCACCTTTATTGACCGGATTATATCTATACAAAACAAACTTGTATCATTATTATCATGCTTCAAAATACCTACTTGTAATATTCGGCAAGCTCTTCTAAATTATTAAACCTGTTCTCTTCCTCGTCAGACATCAAGGACAACCCTCTACTAGTGTCTATATCGCACGACCAAACCTGACAGAGCACTCCGCCTCCAAGCGAGACTGAGAGCTTAAAAGTAAAGTTATCCGACCTAAGGAAATTCAATAAACATTCTTGAACTAAGCGGAAGCCAATAATTTGAAAATGCCATGCATGCCCCAATCATAGATCACCATGGGCATAATGAGCTAATACATGTCGTACATGTACATGCAGTACTTACTCATTATAGCCAGTATATAGAAGGTATGTTCCTTTAGGCGTAGAAGAGAGCATCAGCTAAAGGAAAGGAGAAGGTGAATCATAAGGATTATTTATATAGTTCATTGTATTTACTTTTGCATCATTTTCCCAAAGCCCGGGCAGATAACCAGGAATGATATCGCCCTCGCTGTTTTTGAAGTGTCTTGTTCTTCGTGGGTCTTTCCTCCTGAAAAAATGACCCAATCTTCTCTATAATAGCAAACAATAAAACGGAGTAAATAATGCATGCAAATGTAGATATTAAAATGACGATCTAATTTACAGCATTAATTAAATGCACTAATTTACAGCACGAAACTTGTAAAGACTAGGAAACCTACACTAGTCTACAACATTGTACACACCTTTCGGGGCTTTCTGAAATCCTCTTCAACGACTTCCCCATTGAAATAATGCATTTGTGACTGTCTGTGAATGAGGGGGACATCAAGCGGCTTCGTAGAGGAATTCTCAAGACTCTGTAGATCAATGTTACTAGACGTGCAATCAGATCCAGCCTTAGAACGAAATGATGAGGCTCCACTGTCAATTTTTAGTGTAATATCAGGCATGGAAGAGGTTTTATAAAGAGAGCTGTCTTGAGCTAAATCGTGAAGGTGTTGCAGCTTGATATCATGCGTCATATCCATGTAGGAATCGTCATCGCTGTCATTGCTCGAGCTAGTACTACTGTCTATTTGTGAAATGAAAGAAGTCGGGTCTTTTGTCTCTTCTCTTAGACCCATTGGCCCTCTTATGTCACCATCATCTTTAGTACATATCTTTGCCGGGGAGCTAGGATTAGTTGGAAAGGTCATAATCGTGTAGCCATAGCTGTCTTCATCATCTTCATAAAAAGAGGGAATTGGAGATGGCCCTGTCTGCATTGGCAGTACAGTAGATGACACTTGCTGTGTTGAGATTGCAGGGCTACTCTTTCTGCGTATAGGGAATCCAAACGAAATGTTTACTCTCTGGAACGGAACTGCGTAGTCTCCTATCTCCTCGTCTTGTTGCAATACATTGAATACAGGCATGGTTGGCATCGATGAAGGCTTTATACTCAAAGGCCCATTTATTGTCACTGGAGGTACTATAGCTGAATACTTCTTAGTTAATGAAGGCTGAGGGGCCGTGCTTGTAGTTGGAGAGTTTTTAGCTTTCGCTTCCTTCCTTTTTAGAAGTGCTTGAAGACTAGGCTTAGGTGGTGGTACAGGTGGAGCGATTTTTCTTTTCGTTGGTGGGATTGAATTATTCGATTCCTTTCTCTCTCCTTCTTTTCTGCTTGGAATGTCTTCAGGTCTAACGTGTAGGACTTTCACTCCATTGATCCCTTCTGCTCTAAATGGTTTCTTTTTGTTGCTTCCAGTTGGCTCCTTGATGCCTTCAGCTTCTTCTCTTTCTTTCTTTAAATAGCCGAACCTTTCGGCCGACTTCATAGCATCATCTCTATTGAGTTCAACAATACGCGAAAATGCTCCTAAAATAACATCAAAATTAATAAAATTATCTATTTTTTAATAGCAATTTACTTTCGCTGTGTTCTGCCACTAGTTTCATCATCAGTCCCACCTTAAGCTTATCTTGAGTCTGCTTTGTTCTCAATGGCTCATATCTATACAAGTATAAAATTAATGGCTGGATTATTTTTAATCGTTTTACTGACATTCTCCTGGATTTGTAGCCACGGAAAACTTTCTGTATAATCGTAGCACTTCCTTCCTGAGCATGCAAGAGAGAGTTCAGTCTCTCTTTGTGATAGTAGCGAAGAAAAATCTACAAAACAAATTAATTTTTTTTAATATTAATTTTTTTCAGACTTACTCTTGACTTTCCTATCTTCCAGTCAGTGATTTGTGCCTTCTCTAATATTTTAATACAGTTTTCTTTTGACAATTTCACGCTCTACAAGAATGAGGATGGATCATTATTTTGCCTTGTAAGACTCACTGTGTCTGTAAAAAGAAACGCTATGGTTCTATAGTCTTGAACAAACTCGGAGAAATAAGGTCGATAAGAGAAACCTTCTTTTCTGACCCTCACGGCCTCTACCATACCAGTGTACCTACAGAAAAATATTTCACAAATCAAAAAATATCCATCAAACATAAGGATATGTACCTATATGTATCAGAAAATGTACTAAAAACAGGAAATTCTCTCCTTTTCAATTTTGATAAAATATGGCCCAAGACCATGTACTGTGTAGTACAAGGTCTTTGGACCAATTTTGGGGGAACTTTAAAAATTAATAAAAATTTCAGTTTTGATCGGAATCAGCTCAAACTTTCTACACAGTATAAGTGCATGTATGTGTATTAGAAAATGTAATAAAAATAAGGAATTCTCTCCTTTTCAATTTTGGCAAAATTTGGCCTGAGACCCTGTACTATAGTACAGGGACTTTTACTCGATTTCGGAGCAACTTTAAATATTTGTAAAAAATCCAAATTTGATTGGAATCAGTTCAAACTTTCTACACAACGTAAGTACATGTATATGCATCAGAAACGATTATAAAAATGGAGAATTCTCTCCTAGCCATTTTTTATGAAATACCCTATACTATAATAGTACAGGGTACTTTGTCAAATTTTTGAAGTTCAATTTTGATTGACAATCATGCATAATATACATGTATGTATATATATATATATCAGAAAGAGCTATTTTGATTTAAAAAAACATAAATATTTTCCAGCTCCTCACCTTAATTGCTTTTCCACATACGAATCATCAAAAACACGTGGCTTGCATGCTACATTAGGCTTTATACACCTACAATACACAACATTAATATTAGCAATTATTATTATTATTATTATTATTATTATTATTATTATTATTATTATTATTATTATTATTATTATTGAAACCTAATGAAATGAGGAGTGGCTGAGAGCAGTTTCTCCATTAGTCTATACAAGGAGTCACGGAAGATAGCCCCAACTGTCATCCTTCTCTTTCTTCCCATCATTCTTGATTTCCTCTTAGCGCTCTTTCTCACTGACATTCTCTTCATTACAGATCTCTCACTAAAAAAAGAAAACAATAAAATTCCTCAAAAAATTTTCATTTTCCTATTTACCTTGGTTTTAGCACCACTGGATCAGTCAGTGGTTTCTTAGTCGAAAAGTCGGGGTAGCGTGTAAAAAGACACCTTAGCAAATCCATGGATGAAAATTTCAGAACCCCCTGAACCGGGTCTGGTAAAGAATCCTTATTTTTATCAATGAAGCCGCTAGCTTGATACTCAACCTATAAAACACCAGTTCTTAAAAAATCGATAATTTTAAAAACTTACATCTCCTGCATAATGCCTTATAGTAAAGGATGCTCTGTTTCCGTTATGTGCCTTATAGACTGGGGACTTTTTGAAATTCTCCTTGTACAGCTGTATAATGGCATCATCCCTTCCCTACATATACACATGTACACATGTATATTAATTATCATGTCACGCACAGCACACATGCATGAATTCATACAAGTGCCCATGTGTGTGTATACATGCATCCATCAAAGTGATTAGTAAATACATTTCTAGTGAATAACAACGCTATTCTAATCAGCTATTCTAATGGATAATAGTAGCAATATTGTCTTACATTGATTCTGCATTGTTCGTCGATCAGTGACAATAGACCAATAGGTCTAGATAACAGGAGGTCCAGCACAGGCTGGTTGCTTTGGTAAGATATAGCCACACCCTCCAGCCCCTCCTTCTCGTACTCCTCCTATGAAAAGTACATACATTTAATTCTTTAAAAAAAATATGTAGTCAATGCTTTTTAATACAAAATAGAGAGAAGAGACAGAGAGAGAGAAAGCTTATTCTTAACCTCCTTTTAAAAATTCAATAGCCAAATTATCACTATCATTATAATCATCATTATTAGTTATTATTACCACTATCACATCATCATCATCATCATTGATGTCGTTTCCATTACCTTTTCCATTGCAAATATCTGCTCGTTAAAGTACTGCTGCAACTGCTCGTTAGCTAGATTAATGCAGAGCTGCTCGAAACTGTTAACACGAAAGCACTCGAATCCAAAAATATCCAAGATACCTGGAAAAGAAAAGAAACACGTCACTATCATAATAATAAATAATAACATTTCTATGCAGTAAATACATTGTATTTGGCAGTTTCATATGTTGTGATAATACAAAGGATGTGTAGTGTACACTGTAACCAAATCATACCCTTTCATGTTGAGCAATAAATCCCCTGACAATCTGACAAATTTTAAATCCCCATTTTAGTACATTACACCATGCAAATATTACATGTACATACACATGTAGGCCTAAATATGGACAAATGCTTCTACAAGCATAAGAATAGTAAATATTAACTCTAAAACCACAAGTGGAAATTCCAAATCAAGCTTTTCAATGCTGGCACTATTGGCTGTATTTTTTATACTGCTTCTTGAATTGTGGAGCTACTTTCGAATGATGCCATAAGCAGCTGTTTATTAAAACGAATGATTTGCTTTACCAATGGTTAGGGTCCTTGAAGGATCCTGACAGTTCAAGTAGACGTTGATTCTTGAAATCAACCAACTGAAGAGTCGGAAATAAAGCTCTTTGGCCATAGCATCACGAGTTTCACGAGCTTTCGAGGGAGTGTAGAGCTTATCCACAGTTTCCCCTGTAAAGGAATAAGACAAAAGGTACTAAAACATGAACTAATTTTATAGTAGAATACATACAAGTATATTACTATCTTATAACTATTATTAACATATCATTTATAATAACAACAAAGCGAAGAGTGATGCATTGAGCAATTCAAAGCAAGCCCCAAAGCAAAACTGAGGCCTGAAATAACAATAGCAACACTTTACTAATGGTATTTCAAGCATTTATTACTATTATTAGTAGTAGCAGTAGTAGCAATACCTCTTGTTGTAGTTCGGAGGGTTGTTAGTGCAAATGATAAGTGCTCCGCGGACTCCAGACCCAATAATTCAGTGACAGTCTTGGCTCCTTCCTTATTTAGTATAATGGCTGAATCATCTTCCCTGGTCTGACTGCCAAACTCCTGGTTAGCAACAACAGGAAAATATAATTTGTGGACATTATGGACAGATATATCCCATTTTTTACATACATATATATGTAAATGCAAGCCCCACACAATGGGGTACAAATTGGGGAATGATTTAATTATAAATGCAGCAGAAAAATGTTAATATTACACACATGTGTAATTCCGATTATCTGATTTACGATACATTTTAATTAAGCAGTATGTACAGTAAAGTGGGACATTTTCGAGGGACTAAAATTTGGCAAATTGCTAAATTTTGGTGATTGGCAAATTTTAATTTGGAAAATTTGTGGCCACGTGCCATTGAGCATGCGTATATGGCTCAAAATGGCGGATTTTATTTTGGCGAATGGCTATCAAAATGCCAAATTCACCAAATTTAATTCCCTCCAAAATTTCCTGCTATACGGTACATGTAGAAAGTCTTCATGCAATGTGTAACCATCATAGCAAGCTTCATGGTCTATGCTGGGCAGGAGTTTAATGAGAACCGGAAGTGTTTTGACTTACAATGTTGCCAATGTGTAAGATGGCAGCCAGGATTGTAATGACCTCCAGTATCTCATTAGGATTGAATCCAATCTCCACCATGCACTTCTCTATTCGATCAAAAGAGTCCCTATATTATGATATAGAATAAAAGTAAGTTGTTTTTATGTAGAGACATAAGAAGGATATGCTATCTCTCACTTCTTTGTAATGGCTCTGGATGCCGTCAAATCATTTGCCGGGAGATACTGATATTGAGAAGATTGCTATAGATAGTACGAAAACAAGTCAATGCTAAAATAATATAAATCTCACAGTTTGTACCTCGAGCTTTAGAGTTTTAAGAACATCTGGAGAAGACCCGTACAATAAGTGATAAAATATGTGGAAATTCTGCTCCTATAAAAACAGACGAATAATTTTGGTATGTAACATGCATATGCCTTTCCATCCTTCATTAAATACTATGCTCTTCTTTTCGTACTTTTAAGTTCTGATGACAAACTCGTGACTTCTCAAGGAGATAATGCTCAAGACTTGCTCCTACTATCCCGCCTTGAAGAGGAGAGAAGAAGATTTGAACAAACTTGCCGAATCGACTAGAATTGGAGTTTAAGACCGTCCGTGCATTTCCAAAAGCTTCCAAAACAGGATCAAGCTATAACGAAATAAACAAAATGTAATCCAATTAATTTATTACTACTTGGATGTGTTCAATATAATCATTATTATACAGCTCAGTGGTGATACATGTAGCTGGAATGTGAATGCGTGTAGCTAACAACATTACGGATCCTGATTGCAAAATGATATAACCAAGAAGAACTAGATATGAAGGAAGGGAGTGGGTTATCATTTTACCTTTGTTATCTTTCTCTGAAGTTTCTTAGCAAACCCACTAGATCTGCTCATCCTAATTAACTGTATGAAAACAATAGATTAAAATACATGCAATACAGTAAACATGCCAAACAATCCATCACATGTTTAACACGTAAAGGTTTTCAATTTCCATTTTTAAGGCATCATTATAGACTGTAATGTTATTGTTTCATTATAGAGCTCAAACTATTTTAATTTTAAAGCAAAAAGATGATCTCAATATATATTATATGTATAATATGCATCATTAATAAAACAATGGATTTTCGTAAACATGCAAACTAGACCAGCTAAAAATAAATTTCGCAGTTTGCAAAGCTCATACTGTAATAGCATCAAATATGACACGTAGGGAATCCTTCCATACCTGTTGTATCACCAACTTTGACGACTCTGTCTTTCCTGCTCCACTTTCTCCACTGATGACACAAATCTGACTCTTTTTGCTGTGAAGCATGGCAGTGAAGGCTCTGGCAGCTACAGCATAGATGTGAGGCGGTAATTCATCCCAGGAGCCATCAGCAGCATACTTCTTGGAGGCATCCTCGCTATAATAACATTCTTCGAGTTCTCTGAAGGGATTCACTGCAACAAGAATGTCTCCAACGTCAGTGTAGATGATATCCCGCGAGTAGCGGCACGAAATGGCGTCCAGGAGGCTCTTTTCGCTCAGGTCTGCGAGTGATGTTAGGTTGTCTTCCTCTCTCCTTCTCTCATTCATAGTTTCTGGTGCTTTTTTTCTTGCAGAGCATCACAGTGAGCTTATCATAAATGCCGAATGCATCGAGAAAATTTGTAAAACGAATATTTAGAATCGAGACTATACGGTTGACGTGGGCGTCAATCACACAGCAGGAAAAAACAAGGGAAATGTTGGCACGAAATCCATTCACACTAACTGTAGTCCTGCTAAATTACAATTGCGATTCTAAAAGTTCTTTCCATAGAGTTTCTACTTGCTAAATCCTTAGTTTTCACCTTCCATGCTGGCTTAAGTCTGCATGTGTTTACCGTAGTCTGCGTAGATTAAAAATTTTACGGAGTTTAATCTCCGCCTACTGAGCATGCGCAATAACAGTTCGCGGGCTTAGCAACAAAATGGCTGCTTACAAGGAAGGTGAGCATCACGTCTCGAATCTTCTCTTCAGACGAACTATTGAGTTGGACGATAATTTGAGAGATGTGATTACCTCAAAAATCGTACACAATGTGATACTAGAGGTAATGCAACACAGTAATTGCCCAAGATCCTCCAATTAAAAGATAATTGCTAAAATGATATTACTTTTATCTACATATTAATTTTTTGTTAAACAGCCTACTGTTTCTTTTGAAAATGTTTGGCACAAAACATCGCGATATCCGATATGCATTGGACTGGACAGGTAAAGGTATTTATTCTTTTATTCTTTTTCTTCCAAAAAAGGAGTGAAGGAAGAAATTATTTTAAACTTTATTTTTAGACGGATCTACTTCAATAATCACACGGAAGGATATTTTAAGTAAGTCTTCTAATTATTTATTAATTATATTACTTCAGGGGCGGAAAGGAAGTTCTTCAGGAAATTAATTATTAATATTTAATAAGTGCAGGAACTTTTTTTATCAGTTAATGCACTTAATTTGTGTAGTGACGGTCCTGGGGGAGAACCTCGCCGCCTTTTTCATTTCCCTCCTATAAGACAAGAGGAAAGACACTGTGGAGCTTTACTCTACTTTTGCCATATTGTAAGGTTAATATTATCATATAGGGGCTATATTTCACTGGAAATAAATTTTGCTAATTTTGCGTTTTTATTAAATTCGCAAAATTAAATTCCACAAAAAAGGTGTGACACACTAGGAAAAATAGCTACAGAAGGTAAGATTCTCACAAATCTATACCAACAAATGGCAAGTCTGAACAAATTCGTGAAATGTTATACCAAAAAAAATAATAAAACCACTATATAGTATGAGAGGATTTATGTATTAAAATAAAAACAAAGGAGAGATGGGAGAGAGAGAGACAGAGTGACAGTATGACTGACTGAAGCCTCCGATTAGCTTGTTTGATGTGACAGCTGTTTAGTCAACAATTTCCTTTTATGTAGGGCTCTCCCCTCTTTCTTTGGTATCTATTTTTGTCACTGCATAATGCATACACCATTGTGATCCATGATAGAGTTGTGAGCGTGCCCAATTTTAAATTATGATAGCCTTATCTAACCTCTATCCATGTTTTAGAGTAGTATACTCCAAACTAATGTTCATAATTGAGTTGTTGTTTTGCTAGAGGGACAAACCTCTCTTTGAGGAAGAAAAAGAAGTCTGTTTGATGATCCTCACCTACGACGGTTTTCTCAAGATCCTAAACGCCGACACTAGGAAGGTCCTTCGCTCAGTGTATCTATCCACAGCCGTTCCTTTTAGGTACTTTAATTGTGAGTGGGCATATCTGTCACTTCTGATGTAGATATTTGTCGTGGGCGGAGTATTTGGAGTCTGTATTAGTGAAATCAGCGTTTAATAGGGCCCGAGATAATGTAATTAATATTAGCGTTTTGTTTTGTTTTGTTTGCTTGCATAATAATTATAGTAATTATGCTATTTTGTGTGTGTGTATGACTGCCTGTGTTGTTTCCGTTCAAAAGGTGTTATCGCTGTTGCTGTTCAAGATCCACCCACTCAAACTCATCGTTCATTTCAACATTTCCAAACAAGTAAAGGGGATTAGTCATTATTTGTTTGATAACACCCAGGAAATATTCCCTAAACAAAGAATTGTGCCAATTAACATAAAGAGACCACTTTATCACATACATTGTACACATGTGGTGGTTCATTATCAACATTAAAATAAAAAATGAAATTAAAACTTACAATTTATACTGTGTAATATCTAGTAATATCTCTCCATAATAAGAAAATTAACCAAAAAGAGAGAGATGAATAAAATACAATAGTTGACAATAGAGATTAAGGGCTTTCATTAAGAAATACACAGAGGTGGTATTCTTAACTTTGCCCATTCATAAACTAGTTACAGCAAACATCAGTGGTAGTTTCATATTTATTTGTACTACTGCCAAGTATTGTACATGTATGCCATTTATATCTTTACATGTATATCTAACTGCATGTGAATGTTATTCACTGTTGTTATGCATTTCTGTCTAGATATTTGGTAATCAGTTGTATGACATTTCCATCAGTGATGATCTACTGTTAGTCTTTACTCATCGCTCGTGTAAATATTACAGTCTTCAATGGATATTGGATAATGTTAGTTTAAATCATGTATGGTGTGTGTGTGTGTGTTTGCTGTGAAACGACCCCCTCCCTGTACCTTATGGAGCTTCTGTGGTCAGTTCAAAACAGAAACAGTTCAAAACAGAAACAGTTCTTGAGAATAGAAAAGCCATAATGTTAATGATATTAATAATTATAATAATAATAATAATTATTATTAAAAACAAGAATGAAACAACAACAACAAAATGACAACAATTGAAACAAAGAATATTATTATTATTATTATTATTATTATTATTATTATTATTATTATTATTATTATTATTTATTAGTGTCAAACGACTCCAGCTGTACAGTTAGATGCTCCATATCACAGCAGAGACCCTCTCACGCCATCTTTTATACCAGGAGTGTATCCCAATGGGATCCCAATCAACTGTATCGTCACATGTAAGTACTGATCCATTTACCCTGTGGTTCCTTTTTTTCAAGGGCTGTAAATTACGCAAATTTGCCTAAAAATCTATTTTGTGGGTTTAATTTTTGCGAATTTATTTCATCTGCCATCTTGTACCATAATAATTTGATTTTTGCAAAGTAATTTTTGTGAATCTTCAAAAAAATTGCACAATCCGCAAAATTTACAGCCCTCAACAAAAGGTGCTCTACAGTAATCTCATGTGACTTGTATACTAGCCCTTCCTCCATTGTTGTTTGAGACCAGCTGTAATCCGACTGTCGGTGTTTCATTTGGTGGCTCTCCATTTATTTATCTTCATAATCGCAAGTCAAACTGCAATAGCGATTTCTTGATCAAGGACTTTCGTTCTGGAAGAGTTGTGAGTGATATTGGAGTCCCTTCTCTATTTAATTTTCTCCCTCTCTCTCTCTATCTCTCTCAGCTTAAAAACTTAATGACAAATACGGCTCAATTTCATCCTGACGTGGTCGCCTTTCATTTCGAAGACTATCAAAGAATTTTACAGATAAGCGGCTGCACTTTGAGGTATAAGCCATTGTAGCTACTGTATGTTTGATTAGCGTATTTTGAATTTATTTCCAGCTGCTATAGATATTCTCCTATAACAGGGTCTATTGATATTTGTTATGTGAATGAATTTAAAGAATTGATGGATGAACAAGACAATCAGGTAATGGCAATTCGAAAATCAACATTAATTATTATTATTTTAATTTTATTGTTATTATTTGTATTTTAGCCATTGATATCTAGCAGAGGGCGTGTCATTAAGAGATTATACAAGAAAGAGCAATTGGATTACCTTGTTGTATGTTAAAAGAGAGAGAGAGAGGAGAATAAGGGAGAGACTGCACTAAACTAAAAATTTCAATACAGCACAAGCGCATCAATTATAAGAAAGTTTGAACTACATGTGCAATTCCAACACTGTTATGGCTGTCTGAAAAATAAGATACATTTCTGATTCCAAGCCCATTATTTTGAGCTATGACTATTTAAAAAATATTTAATGCCTTATAAGGTTAATTGATTGACTCCTCCCCTCTAGTCTGCTGTACAGGACCTGGACTATGAAAATGAAACAAATTTACTTTATGCTGTCATTACCGTCCCCGAGGGAGAACAGACGATAGCATTTCTTTGCTTTCTTGACGACAAAACTGGTGCTGTCACTAAAAAGGTCCCCCTGCCAACGTGGAGTCCAGTAGGTGCTCAAACAATGAAAATGTATTAGAATCCTTTCCTCATTTCTCCTTTCTGTCTGGTTTTTTTCAGATTGGTGGCAATTGTGTATATCATGAACTAGATTGTATCATACACATTGTCAGTTTCTCCAGTAATCACACTTGCTACTTCTATCGGCTAAGAAGAAATGTATAATATCAAATCAAATCAAATTTATCAATTTTTAATTGGGCAAAGCCCCAACTGGTGAAATCTGTATGTAGGTATGAATCTGTAGTGGCATTGGATGGAGCCCCTTAATGTTTATGTAATTTTTTGATTCATAACAATTATCAGTATTTTTAATCATTACACATATGAGAAAAATGTCACAGAAGAAAGGAAAACGAAATTAAAACAATGACAAAAAGATGTGATACAGTTTATCATCCACAGACAACACCACTCAATCGGATATAGTGACCAAACCCTCAAAGCCGCGATACTTTGATGGCTCAATCCCATTGTATGAGACAACCATAAGGTAATTATGAGCCGTAAAAACTGTCTCTCCTTTCGCATTACACATTGCACCGATTTGTTGAGAAAACTGGAAATCACTATAGACAATAAGCCTGTCCTGAGTATTGCTACACGATTCATAATTAAGATCAGTATACAGTATAGTGAGGGTGACTGTTCTTTGGGACGAAATGACGTAATAGTTACAGTTGAGAGAGCTTGTGTATTTTGAAGGAAAGTCAGGGAGTGAAAACCTTTGTCCGTTACTTACAACGCCAAAACAAGACTTGACTTTATAGGATTAAAATAAATATAATAATAATTATTATTATTATATTCAGACTCACCGTTTGTTTGTGAGGGAAGAACAGTCTCATATTTAAGACTAGCAGAGTCACTGCTATTGCCTGTTTCATACACGACACTCAATTCATTAATGGAGGAAATGATTGGGGACAAGGGAAAGCTCCCACCACATGTCCTGAGTAGCGATATAGAAGAAACCGGCTCTATGCCACTGAATATTTCAATGGACCCTCCATTAGAGCAAGAGATGGAGAGAGACAGGAATGTCAACTTGATGGCCTGGTTTGCATTGGGTATTTGTATCGTCCATGTTACATTACTTGTGTTGAGATTAATGGAACCAGAAGCAGTTGTGTGCGAGACGATATAATTGCATTGGTATCCATTGGAAGATAAGCGAAAGCTACTGGGACAAGAGCAAGTATACGAACCATTTGTATTGTGGCAGTAGTGACTGCAATTATGAGTCCTTTGAGAGCATTCATTAATATCTAAAGTAAATTGAAAATTTAAGACAAATAATAGACACCATAAAACCTGCACAAGATCCATTGTCTGCTGTAGAGAAATGGAAGCCCTCAGGACACAAGCAAGTATAGGATCCTTCAGTATTTATACAAGACCAATTGCAGCCATGATTGCTTGAAGAACATTCATTAATATCTGCATGGAAGTTAGTTGTGACTTATCAGCTATTAGGTTTACCTGAGCAATCCTTGTCATTACTTGATAGCACGAAGCCACTAGGACATGAACAAGTGTATGAGCCATTTATATTATGACAGAAATGACTACAATTATTAGTACTGGCTTCACTGCATTCATTAATATCTACACTACAGCCATAACTCTGCTGTAATATTGATTAATGTAATTTATACCTGTACAAGATTTGCCATCAATTGAAAGCTGAAAGCCTTTAGGACACAGACACCTATAAGAGCCTTCAGTATTAAGGCAAGAGCCTTGGCAGCCATGATTGCTTGAAGAACATTCATTAATATCTGCATGGAAGTTAGTTGTGATGTATCAGCCAACAGGTTTACCTGAGCAATCCTTGTCATTACTTAATAGCACGAAGCCATTAGGACATGAACAAGTGTATGAGCCATTTATATTGTGACAGAAATGACTACAATTATTAGTACTGGCTTCATTGCATTCATTAATATCTACACTACAGCCATAACTATCCTGTAATATTGATTAATATAATTTATACCTATACAAGATTTGCCATCAATTGAAAGCTGAAAGCCTTTAGGACACAGGCACCTATAAGAGCCTTCGGTATTAAGGCAAGAGCCTTGGCAGCCATGATTGCTTGAAGAGCACTCGTCGATATCTAGAAAAATAAAGGTATAATCTTCTAAAGTATAATCCTATACCTGAGCAATTTTTATAGTCATTTAAAAGGAGCATTCCTTGAGGGCAAGAGCAAGTATAAGATCCATTAGTATTATGACAGAAATGACTGCAGTTATGGACACCAGAGCTACATTCATTTATATCTATCAATAAAATAGGTTTGTGGAGATTATACACAATGTATTTCTAGTGACCTGTGCATGTTCCACTTTCAAGCAATGTCCTAAATCCTGAGGGACAAGTGCAAAGGTATGATCCTTCCTTGTTGAGGCATCCATATTTGCAGTTATGAAGATTCAAAGTACACTCATCAATATCTGTAAGGAAGATTGAGTATTATGCATCATTTAATACATACAGCAGTTAACCTATGCAGGTCCTCCCATCATCGGCCAGATCAGTGCCAGAAGGACAAGAACATGTATATGATCCATCTGTATTTTGACAGTCATGCGTGCAATTGGCTAAACCACTACTGCACTCATTTATATCTGTGTTAAAAAAGGAGTTTAAAAATCTAATTTTGCTTGGAATCAGTTCAAACTTTTTAGGCAACATAAGTACATGTATAATGTATCAGAAGATGTAATAAAAGTGAAGAATTCTCCCCTTTTCATTTTTGGCAAAATTTGGCCGAAGACCCTGTATATAGTACAGGGACTTTGGTCCAATTTTTGAGTAACTTTAAAAATTTGTAAAAAATCCAATTTTTATCGGAATCAGTTCAAACTTGCTACACAACATAAGAACATGTATATGCATCAGAAAAAGTTATTAAAATGGAGAATTCTCTCCTAGTCATTTTTGGAAAAATTTGGCCGAAGACCCTGTACTATATATAGTACAGGGACTTTGGCCAATTTTTGAGTAACTTTAAAAATTCATAAAAAATCCAATTTTTATCGGAATCAGCTCAAACTTGCTACGCAACATAAGAACATGTATATGTATCAGAAAAAGTTATAAAAATGGAGAATTCTCTCCTAGTTATTTTTGGCAAAATTTGGCTGAAGACCCTGTACTATAGTACAGGGACTTTGGCCCAATTTTTGAACAACTTTAAAATCTACTGACAAGAAATGGAGCACTATAAACAAAATCCTGTGGGAAGCCCCAAGTATTATACTGATATATAACATTTAAAAATTACCAACACAGGTGTGAAGATCCGGCCCATATGTGTAGCCATCAGCACACAAACACAAAAAGTCTCCATCAAAATTGACACAGGTTGCACAGTGATGCTCTGGTCTTATGAACTCTAAGCACTCATTCACATCTTAAAGAGGGAGAGAATATTAAAACAAAGAAGAAAGAAAAAAGGAGAGAATTAGCATTAACAATTTATTTACTAGACAAACAAAAAATAAAGATGAGGATAGAAGTAGAGATGCATGACATTTAATTATTCATTTACCAGAGCAATTTTTTCCATCACTTGATAGTTTGAATCCTCTCTTACACAAGCAGTGGTAGCTGTTCAACTCATTGACACAAAACTGTGAACACTGACTGAGCGAAGTGTTCAAACATTCATTAACATCTACAGCTATAGAAGCACTACTCATTATCTCTTAAAGTTAAAGATCTCTTACGTATGCAGTTAGTTCCATGACTATTGAGAGTATAACCATCACTACAACAATCATCATCATCATCATTAAGGCAAGTACAAGTATGACTTCCTGCAATATTAGTGCAGGAGTACTTACAGCCTCCATTATCACTAGCACACTCATTAATATCTAAAGGAGAGGGCCCTACTGGATAATAATGTGTATATTATACATATTATACCTATGCATGTTTTTCGGTCACATGATAGGTACATCCATTCTGGGCAGGAGCAAAAGAAAGAGCCGAAAGTGTTAGTACAAGTGTGAGAGCAACCAGCAATCCCTTCACTACATTCGTTTATATCTACAAGCAAATATAACAAGGGGAATTAATGACACTAGCTGACCGACCTCCAGTGATTGTAGTAATGCTTATTCCAGTGAAAACCTCATAGCTAAAAGTATTGAAATGATCAGTGTGGTATTTTATCATCACAACTGTGTCTCTGAACTTTTCCTCTACACGAGAGTCCGAGCAATACTTGTTTCCCCAGGCACCGTTTGAATGAATACGAACGTAATCTTTTGTACATAGACCTCCTCCTGAGTTTTCCAGGCTTACAAGGATTGTCAGTGAAGTCTCCATTCCACTTGGTACTACCAGTATCCACTGACAGTCGATGTTGTGATCGAAAACCCAGTTAAAGGAGATGGTCCCTTTGAAAACCTCACCGCAGTTTGAATAGGGAAGAGGAGGAATGGGATTAAGAGGAGGCAGCTGTATGGTTGAATTTAAAGAAGAGTTTGATGTACCTGAAATATGAAATAATTTGTAATATGAGAATATCATAATTTCTCACCACATTTATAAAGTTTATTGATTTGAACAAAGTCCAATCGAGACGGGCACTGACCAGGACCGACAATGATACCAGTTGAAAGCGATACTATGGTATAAAGGTGACCAGCCTTTGAAAAAGCAGTAGGAGAATAGTGCATGATACTGTTGTGGTCATATGGGACCCCAAGAGAATCTATGACACTAGAAGGAAGCTTCTGAAAATTGTGAACTAAAAAAAGGAGAAATTGCCACATAAAAGAATAGATTTAGTTGCTTATATAACATACGTGCTGTAGGTACTATGTTCTCAGTTATTATCCTAACGTATTTGTCACGATCGGGTCTGCTCTGCTCGTGATACAATCCCATTACATGGCCGAGCTCGTGTGACACAGTTCCTTTAGAAAAGCAGTCGCGGTTCAATGATAGGCCTTGTTTACAACCAACACGACCAATGTACGAGCAACAACTGAATTAAGAAAAATAAATAAGCTATTAGTTTATATTGATTTTAGTGCATTGATATTAATGGTGATTTGATCAGTGATTCTGATTTTGTAAATATCATTGATTGATTTGTGATCTTACCCTCTTGAGCTAAGGGATATCATGACATAACCAACTGAGCTCTCTTCTTCTCTGAAGCGAATGCACGTGTGATTCTCCCAGTCAATCATTGCTTCCAGAATAGTTCTCTTCTCACTCTCTACAAAAAAATTATATTTAATTTCTGCTAAAGACTTCAGCCATTTTATCATACCTGTGAATTGAGTGTCAATTTTGTAATAAATGACATTGTTGGGCCAGAGGCGAGATTCATTACTGATTAAAGCTCTTTTTGTAACTTTGTGAAATAGCTGTGGCCAGACTGCATCTCCATCTTGAATATCTATTTTAATATTAAAATAATTACTAATCCTCACAGTTCATATTCTTACCTCCAGGATATGACTGGCAAGGCTCTTCATAATTTCTGGAACAATCAGTCTGGGCTGCAGCAGAACTGATGAATGTTACTGTCAGAAGGAAAAGTAGAAGAGTTGCATGCAGCCACAACATAGTGACAGAAAGAAGGAGGAGGAAAGGGAAGGGCTGGAGCTATTGTTGTGGTTGTATTTAAACAGCAAAACCGCACCACTGTTGTCATATCCTCGTATTCAAGATGCTGCAAGCATTGTTTTTAATGGTATCTTTAGCATGTTTTGTAAAGGGAACACCAAGTAAGCTACAGCTATGTAGGTTAGACGTAGATTGCATCTATTCTTCTAGTTATTCTTGTTCCACCTTCACCAATTAATGCAAGTCTGGGCTCAACTGCAGTGTTTACCTGTGTGTGTCATGATTGTATTGGACAATATTGGCTTGTTAATGGTATGTCTGCAGCATATCAGGAAATCCAAGATAAAGGTGTTTTGCCAAACGGACCGAACATTTTTCCCAATGGCAGTAAGCAATATAATGTATCAGTGCCTGCAACTGTTCAGTGGAATGAATCAACAATACAGTGTGTTGTTCATAATTGGGAATATTTCCCTGAAAGCCCAATAGTACAACTGATGGTGCAAGGTAATTTTATAATAATAACAATTAGATCTATTACAGTATGATTTCATTTTAACTTAGGTTTGTTGTCAAATGTTACTGCTACAGTGACACAAATTAATAGCACAACATTATTACTTAAATATGAAGCACCATATACACTAACAGGAATACCGATATTATATTATACTATAGTAATATCAACAACTGATATGTCAGTTAATATTACTGATACACAGTACAATTTATATCTTAATGAGTTTTGTTCCACTTATAATATTAGCATAACACCATGGAATATTGTTGGTAAGGGCAATACTACCATGCTGTCAGGCATCATATTATATCAAAGTAAATTTAAGGGTATTATTATTAGAATATCATAATAATTATTTTTAGCTGCAGTTACTACAACACCACACTTTATTGAAGAGTATATTGGAACTTATATTATATTTCAGGTAAATATAATAGCTCTATTATCTGCAAAAATTACAAAATTTTATTAAGCAGTTTACATCATGGATTATTTTACCTTTTTAGTACAACAATTACTGTATTGGAACAGTGCCGCAATTGGTTTTATTGCTAATAAATGAGCAAGAATATCATTGCTCATTGGCATCTCCTACTACTAATAATTGCACTGTTACTACTGGAGATATAAATAACAATGTTAATGTTACCATTAATATAAGTGAAGTATTGGAGTATGGAGCTAAATACACTGTTAAAATGTCACTTTTTACTATTAATAATGTTGACTTTATTCACTCTAATGATTTCACATTCAAATTCAGTAAGTATGTGTGTATTATATATCATACTAAACAGGTCTATATACAAAAATATAGACCTGAGGTAGACGTCCAAGGATGTAATATTTTTCTTTTCACACAGACACATATCATGTCATTTCTGCTGCTATATTGTCAATTAATGACTCAGCTGTTTGCCTCCAGTGTATTTTTAGAAATAATTCCCAATCAACAGGTTGCTATGGAGTATTTAAACCAATTAATAACACTGAAGGAGGATCAACAACAGTATATTACAAAATAATAAAGCCACTGATGGATACAGTAGCTATTGGTTGTGCTAATACATTGCCTAATGGAATGTACAGTGTATCAATATTAGATGCATTGAGTTATCAAGAGGGAAGATTCAATAACACAGCCATCAATATGTCATCCATAATAATTATTAATAACACTATTATTACTGATGCCGGCATTACTAGCAGTAGCAGTGTAATATTTATATCCACTACAATATATGGTAATTTGAAACTGAGTATTTTTAATTGTGTCAATTTTTTATAGACCCAGAGA